CCAGCAGGAAGAGCCAGCCCAATCTGCAGAATCCACAATGCAGCTGGCTAGCCCGAGGCTACCTGCCTCTTTGAAGTGGAAGAGACATCACCCAACGAGCTGTCAAATTCGATCACCCGGCCTGGAAAGGCTGAAAGAGATTTCGTGCTTTCTACAAGGAAGGGAAAGTTTAATAGAGGAAAATCTTCCTAAAAGGGCCAAGGTAGCATGGGAGGGGAAAGGGGAATCCTTTGGATGTGGCAACTAGAAGTGACTCACCTCAGGGAGTCTCACTGAGGGAGAGCTGATGGGACATGGGGTGTTCCAGCACGGAAAATAAAGAGTAAAACCTGCAGGAACCTGCACAGAGCAGCAACAAGTAACCCTGGCTGCAAAATCAACCCCCCTAAATCTGTGCTGGCTTTAAATCACCCCGGAGCTGGGCTCTGAAGAGGTAGAAGTCAAATATTTGAGACGTGCAGCAGTGGGATACAAAGTGTGTATCAAAAGGGGTGACGGCAGCTCCCCTCACTTATCTTTGGCAGTAAAACTCAAGCCCCAAAACCACCCTGAACACAATTCCATTTTGAGGAATCCAGAACAAAACTGAACACAATTCCATTTTGAGGAATCCAGAACAAAAACTTCAGGTTACCAAGTGAGGAAGCAGGAGCCTGGGTGTGTGGTGAATCCTAAATGTGGCATTTCCATCAGGGACAAGCAGCAGCACGAGCCAATTATAGAAGCAAAGGAGAAATGCTGCTCTTAGGGGGAAAATATTGAACTTGTTCATCCATCCAGGAGCTGGATCATTGCAATTACACTTTGAAGTTAAAGACTGTGAAACACACAGAAGATGAAAAGAATGATAAGAATGAAAACCAAAAGGAAAAAAAAATGTAGGTCTACAGATCCCTCTTCCTAGCCAAAAAAAAAAGGTATAAAAATGACATAGCAGGTTCTGTGTACACATACAATTATAAAATCAATTTAGGGCCATGCCAAGGCAAATCTACTTGGAAGAAGTTAAGGGCAATGGCTCTATTCCCAAATTCAGCACTCATGTGGCAGACAAACCGGACATCACCTGCAGAGGTGTGAAGAGAAGACACTAGCAGATCAGTGAGAGCATGAACCAGACCTCTGAATAGAGGAGCTAAAACTGGATTTCTTGATGATTTTATAGTTGCATCTATTCCTTTATTTCCCCCTCTCCCTGCTAATCTTATTTCTTTGTCCTCACCTCCTCCAAATCCACAGCACTGAAGAGCAAAGTTTTGATCATCTATCATTTTTTAAACAGAAGATGCCCAAGTTCTACAGCTCCCTCCAGCTGTAACATTCCTTGGGTGTATTTTACTTCATGGCCAACACCACGTTAACATTTCTAAGCCACACTTCCTATCAATTAATTAATAGAAATGTCTTACTTGAATTGCAACTTACTCATGTCCATCTTAAGCCTTAGTCAGTGTCTCAGCTCCCTGCTGTAAAGGAGGCTTGCAAGATTAAAAAAAAGATGATTAAAAGGATGTGAAAATATCACCTCTTACAGGCAAAGAGATGAGGTGCTAACTAGGAGACTTCACTGTCCAAAAGTTGCTCATCCTACCCAAAAATTCTCTGGCAATTGCCAGTTGGTGAAAACCACCCAAAAGCAAGGACCTGCAGTGGGTGGGCAGTGGAGAAAGGTAACAGAACATGCCTTCCTGGACTCTTCCAGCTGTTAACCAGAAGTTAACAACTTGGTTTTATCTCCCAAATTGTTATCTGGGTGGAAAACTGGGGGTGCCAACCTGGCAGGTAAATCACCGATGGCAGAAATGGAACATGACAGAAAGAATGTTCTACATTTAAGCCACCATGAAATAATGAGTTTTGCTGCTGAAAAGGCAACACCTCAGCTCCAGCTGAATGGTTGGATTTTCTTAGTACCTGGGTCTAAACTGGAAGTAGGGTCTAGAGGCCAAGTGTGGTGAGGAGCAGCTGAGGGAGCGGGGGGTGCTGAGCCTGGAGCAAAGGAGGCTCAGGGGAGACCTTCTGGCTCTGCACAGCTCCTGACAGGAGCCTGAAGCCAGGCGGGGTCGGGCTCTGCTCCCAAGGAACAAGCCATCAGACAAGAGGAAATGGCCCCAAGTTGTACCAGAGGAGGTTTAGGTTGGACATCAGGAACATTTTCTTGCCCAGAAGGGTTGTCCAGGACTGTGCCAGGCTGCCCAGGGCATGGAGGGGTTTCCAAGCTGTGGAGATGTGGTGTGAGGGACACAGTTTAGCAGGTGCCTGGCAGTGCTGGGTTAAGGTTTGGACTATATGACTTGGAAGCTCTCTCCCATTCACAACAATTCTGTGATTCTATGCTTTGTTCAGTGTAGCACAGATCTTCTCAAATTTCTCATCCCTCCTCATCTCTAACCCCATTTTAAACCTCCATTTTATGGCAAAGGGGTAAGGCAAAGGGGTAAGGCTGAGATTTCACCAAACACAGCTCCCCTATTTATCTCACTGCTGAATTCTTCAGCTGCTGAAAGGTTGTCAAGCAGCCCTCTCTCACCATATGGCAACAACCTCGAGTCCTAGAGGCACATACTTAAAAGACCATAACGTGTCAGGCCCCTTGAATAAATTAGAGAGAACAATTATGCAAAATAATAACACTGCAATGATGAGATACGTTAACAAATGGGAGTGTCACTGCTCATGGAATGCTGTGAAAACAAATCCCACACATCACCGTGGTCATCATCATCATCATCATCACCAAACTGAAGCAACAAGAGCAAAGCGACGTCTCAGTGTTTGCTCTGCCCTTCAGCAACTGGAATTTTAAGACAGGAGGAGGAGGTTGCAAGGGAGGAAAGTCACTTTTACTGATGCTCAGTGAAATATAATCAAATCTTACAGAAAGATGAGTGGGAGAAGCTTTAAAGAGCAGAACGTTTACCCACGTATGCTCTTCCTGCAGACCATGGGCTTGCACTGCACCTCATCTGAAAAGAATATGAAATATCTGAGATTGCATGAGGTACATTTTTTAATGATAGGTCAGGCTATGCTTTTATGATTTTCCTGAAGTTTTTTTATTACAGATTTAGTTGTCCTTGATGATCAAAAGGCATTAGACAGAAAGGAGAGGGGAGGAAATAAATGCCATCTGCTTTTCCCACTCATCTCTCTAAAGGCAAAATCTCAGTTCATCCTCCTTTGCTTTTAACCCTCTACCCCCTCAGGTTTCTCTGTGAAAAGAAAACTGAAAAGCTCAAGCTAGCATTGCATAATGACCAAATTGCCTTTTAGATATTAGAGAGTTAAATTTTACCAATCCACCTCTAAACATTTCATCTGCTAGCTGAACTTTTTTTTCTTTTCCTCTTTGAACATTTCAGCAGCAAGTAACACTTCTGTTCCACACCAGAGAAAACAAAACTGGCACAAGAGGCTGGGGGATACTGCAGCAGCAGCCTGTAACCACCCTGAGAAATCCCCACACTTGGAAACAGGCTGCTGGGGATTCGAAAATAATAATAATAAAAAAAGACACTTTGTAGCCTCATTGCTAGAAAACGTGTCTGAAAATCAGACAACAGTACTGTCTGCAGCAAGGTTTTCAGCTCTGCTTCAGTGTTCTTAGCTGCTGTTGCCATGGGTGAAGGCTTGAGCACAGTCACCAAACTGAAATCATGCTCCTTTGCCCTGTAAGGAACAGGAGAAATGGTAAAAACTGAGAATTAAGCCCCATGTGCTGAGAACTTTTCAAACTAAACAAGAATATTTTCATTTTTAACACTGAGACATTCCTACAAGGACCCCTGTGTGCCTGTAAATCCCTCTAAAGGAATTGCAGGGACACAGAAAACACCTACTAAGGAGTCCAGAATTACCCCTGTTCAGCTTACTCGTGCAAATTTCCTCTGCCCTTTTATGTCAGGAGATATTTTAATCACCTCTTTTAATTATCTGTTTTCTTCTTAAGGCCATTTAACATTCAGAATGCTCAAGGAACTACCCAAGATGTCTCTCTCTCCACCTTATGGTGTGGAAGCTCCTACAGGAGCACACCAGTTGAGACAAAAAGAACCTTCAACTGAGAAGCTGTTTCTACAACACTGTTGTACAAACCTGCAGAGAAATTTATCAATGAAGATATCAAAATATTTTTGTATTTCTTTCAGGATTTGAAAAGAAACCCCAAGTGAACTGTGAAGAAGATTACCCAGATCCAATAGATCCTTAGGGCATTATGTTGGCACTTGAAAATTTCTTTAAAAACTATTTTTTTTAAAAATCTTAACACTTGACTTTGCACTTGTGGAGAAATACCATAGAAAGTGAGAAATATCCACAAAAATTTGAAAACCACTACAACTCTTAATCAGTTTGAGAGAAAATGCTTCTAGAATCATATTAAATAAAAATCCATATGCCACAAAATGAAGTAGCAAGTGAGCTAACTTAAAAAAAAATCCTCATTTCTTTCCTGAAGGAAAACTAAAAAAAAAGTTTCCCAGCCAAATCATGACTACAGTTTTAAAATAATTTATTCAGTCACATAAATACTTTGTAACATTTGCATGTTCCCTTTTTCACATCCTTGGCACGCAATAGAGCTCTGAACTTTTACAAAACTAGTGTAAACATCCATGGAAAATAAGATGAAAAGGAAAAGGGAGATGTGTAAAAATTCAATCAACAGTAAAGGAGGGAATAATTGAAGGGAAAGAAGAACTTCTTTCCTACAAACACCACGTAATTACACTTGAATGTTTAATTTTTGGAAGAGCTTTTTAAAAAAAAACCAGAGAATTAAAACTGAATTTCCATCTTTCTGCCATTGTGGCATTTAATCAGATGCAGGACAGGACTAATTAGGTCCAATTCTTGAAGGAACAAGAGCGACTCGAGGCAGTTGTGCTACTGGAGCCATCAGCACTTTGGGGTCACACACAGAAGGTTACAAACCAGTTAGTGGTTTTGGACAGTGTAACTTCTCAGCTCCCTTCCCCCCAGGACATGGAGGTTTTTCCTCAGTGAGCATTGGTGTACAATCTGTTCTTGACAAAGACGACGTTGGGCAGATGCTGTCGGACTCCTGGGTAATGCTGGATGTGGCTGAACCAACGGGACACGTTGAGGTATTTCTCCTTCTCCTGCACTGTGAGGTCCACCTGTGTGGGGAGAGGAATGCAAGGGGCCAGTAACACAGGGCACTGGCAGAGCTGTGACAGTCCAGCAGTGTTCTGTCTTAATCCCAAATATTAAAATTCACAGCCCAAAATATGCAGTAACTTTACATTCATAGAGCTTCAGGCCCACCTTTTTATCCGAGCCAGCCCTCTGATACTCATCTACAATTACCAATGTCAATTATACCTTTCAGAGTCTTTAATTTTCTTCATCCTCAAAGCTTTGCTACTTTACTACTTTAGTCTTCCATCCTGGATCACCTGTATTACTGTCTTCTGATGAGCAATTTTAGGTCTCCTCATTCCTCTGTAGGTTAAATCTCTAGTTTAGAAAAGAATTTTCCTCACGTTAATCTACTCAAACCAAACTGCAAATGGGGCAGTCCTCAAAACCAATGGCAAGAACTGCATCAGGAATAAAATCATGGAATACCAGCACAGCAGGGGCAGGAAGGGACCTCTGGAGACCATCTCACAGGGTGCCCAGGGTCACAGCCAGGTGGGTTTGGGATCTCTCCAGAGCAGGAGACTCCACAGCCTCTCTGGGCAGCTGGTCCAGGCTCCAGCACCCTCACACCAAAGAAGTTTCTCCTCCTGCTCAGGAGGCACCTCCTGGGTTCCAGTTGGTGCCTGTTGCCCCTTGTCCTGTCACTGGGCACCACTGACAAGAGTCTGGCCCATCCTCTTGCCCCCTTTCCACAAGAGCTTCTGCAGTTTTGAGCTGTTCTCTACCTCACTTTGGGCAGGGTGAGAGGAATCTGCCTTTTTCTCTGCTGGCATGGAAATGTAGATGCTGTTCCTACAGCTGAATAGTCTGATAGAAGTGTCCAGACACATCAGTTAAAACACAGCCACATATTCTTTTCGCTGAGCTAGAAAGCTAGAAGAGTTCATCAGCATTAGCCAAGTGGAAGAGGGTAACAGTGATAAGGGGAAAAACTCAGGAATTTTTAAAAGGCATTACAAATAAAAAGTGGAAGCTATTAAGATACAACACTATGAAGCTGCAGAATCATTTACAAAGCAACACAGAGCATGAGAAGAGCAACACTTGTACTCTCTGGCCATCTAAAAATCACTCAAAGTGAAGTATATAAATATAAGTAGACACTAAAAATTACTGACACTAAGTTCCACATCTTATACTTAAATTTATAATTACAATATTCTTCTTCCATGTCTTTATTTTGTAAGCACTTTGTTAGGGAAATGCTCAACTAGGCTTCAGATCCTGTAGTTTTAACTTGATAATTCTCAACCTTCACATTTCTCTGATGTAAATCAAAAAAAATAATCAACTCTGGAAAAACCAGAACTCCTCCATTCTGTTTGCATGGTGAAAAAAACATCTGAAGGGCAAAGCAGACACTCCACTCACAATCCCCCTTCCTGTACTCTAGGCACAACAAGCAAGATAGTTTTACTTATTTACATAATGTGCTCCATCAGTGAAATGTATTAAAAAGCACTTTGTGGCATGCTCTACTTTTTCCTCAGAACATAACTCTTAGGTTAATTGTTTAGAGATCACTTCCATGGCATTTTTTTTTTTACAACATTTTGTTAGATGGGTATTTTCTGTTCTTCCTCATTAAATTAGATAATTCCCCCAAGTTAAGAAAGGCTGCTGTTCTGCTGTTAAAATAATTATTTGCTATTAAAGCAATTATTTTAATAGCAAAGAAGCAGACACTTAATTTGACAGGCTTTTTTTTTTTCTTATCTCATGGAAAAAAAAATCTCTTATTCTTCCAGCACAAAGGGTAACCAAGGTGGTGACCACACAATGCAACTAGAAGAGTTTCTAGAAGGGCTATAAATATTCAAGTTTTAATTATATTTGCTTTCAGGAGCGTGGGGGATACAGGCACAAAAATTCCCATTCCCACACCCTCAAGTCTAAAAATACCTGCCTGCATCTCAGTCTCTTCAGCACCAAGAAAAGGATTAGATATTATCTCACTTTTTTTTTATAATTTAGCCTTTGGGTGTGAGGGAAAGAAAAAAACCAAGAACAGCTGCATGGTGCCTTTCATGAAATACATCATCCACTTTCACTTCATTTTGACTAATTTTCTGCTGCTAAAGGAATATGCTTAAAATGAAATCTTTTTTTTAAAAGGAAACCTGGTTTTTGTGACTCAGTTTAAGTCTCCAGCACTGTTCTTTAGAAGGAAAACTTGTTCTCCCACTGCAAAGAGAAGCAGCTTATCATATTTATATATGAATATAAATAGTGCCAGGAATTTTTGTTAATTACAGGAAATATTCATTATGGAAAAAAATTAACTGGAAAATAAACTGCTACCCCAGTCCCACAGTTCAGTATTAGCAGTTCTGACCCAAGGAGAACAGCTTGTTGTTTTGACCCCCAAATTTTGACTGAGGCTCCTTCCATTTCCAGACACAAATTTCCCCCAGAAGTTATTTTCTAGACCTTATTAAAGAAATTTCCCAGTCAGCCATGTAAATTTGAGACCACTTCTTTGGTTCTGCTGATATTTTTGAAGGATAAAACCAGATCAATCTTCATATTGATTGTTTCTCCTAAACAGAACTGGACTTCAGAATGAAAAGAGAGGGAAATTTATTTTTATTTTAATTACCACAGGGGGAATTTAATGCTTACTGATTGTCTGAGCTGTCCTCAAGCAATGCTTCCAAATTCATGTTTTCTCTGCAATCTGTGCATTAACCTCCTAGAGCTTCAGTGTTCATCATATACATCCACATACATATTTAAGTAATCAAAGTGTCTAAAGACAACAATATTTGTATTAGATACATGAAAACATGGAATTACATCTGACAATGTGAATCACGTTGATTGGAAGAGCTCATTTAGACAATTAGCATCAAGTGTTATGGTTTGTGGGTGTTTGTGAGGTATATAATGATTAGAACAATAATGTATACAATTTAGTTCCTGTCTTATTATTACAAGTGTGTATTTCTAATTAACAGGCACAGCCTGCAAGCAGCCTGAAATATTACCTGTGAATCAGACTCTCACTCATTAAAATACTAATTCCTTTCCCACAACACTGAATTTTATACACACAGAACTATTGTGCTTGTTAAAATAACTGAGAGGGAGAGTAAGACTGGAAGGCAGGCACACAACTGCAAAATTAAGAGTTGCTGCTGTTCAGCAGACAAACTCATTAAGAAGTTCAAATGGATGAGCCCAGACAATGAGGAATCAGGTTCCAGAACCTCCCCTGGGTGATGGGAAGAGCAAAATGAAGGCAGGAGGGGAGGAACTGGAAGCCTTATGATCTAGGTTCACTCTATATTCAGGTGAAGAAGTGAGCAATAGGATTGGGTGGTCTTAAAAGCTTTTCCAGTGAAGTTGTAGTAACACCTGGCTCATTCAGGACCATCATGGTGCACCACTCATATCTGCTGAACTTTATTACTGATGTCTGTGTCAGTGTGCAGTAAAGTCTCTCAAGAGCAGAGAGATTGATCCTAAAGATCATTAACAGTAATAGATCAATTTTCTAGACAGCTTGATGGACAGTAAGAACTGTGGGTCTGCTCTCCCCATGCTTCCCACTTCTACCTTGTCTTGGTAGGATTGTAGGAAACATTTATTGGTGTTTTACATGAGGCTTAGCTGAAATAATGACAAAATGCTTCCCCAGACCACATCCCTTGGAGAGATACAGCAGCTTCCCCCTCCTCCTTGAAGCTCAAGGCAGAGAAGCAGCTCTGGATGTACTCTCTTCTCATTACAGGAAAAGTACAAATAATTAAAAAATAAATCAGAAAATCTACAGTTCAAGATCTTACCTTTATAAATACTAACATTAATCAATTCTGAAAGCTTTAAAATACATTTAATTCCTAGCTGGTAGCTTTACCTGAGATAGCCACCCCATTATTTGCCCTTTATACCCTTCCAATTCAGAAAATGATCTTCCATGAACTCCAATATTTCAGAAACAGCTGCTGTACTCTAAACTTGTCCTGAGTAGTGTCTGGATGGTTGCAGGCACCCAGGAGCACCAAGTCATTTGTTTTTACCATCTGTTCTATTTCCCAAAGCAATAACTTGTATTTTTTCTTCTTGATTAGGTGGTCTACTCTAGAGCAAACTCTAAATTTAAAACACGTTTGATTTTCCCCTGCCTAAGTTGTTTTTTTTTTGTAAAATGTCTCATTTGAACTCGTGCTCTCCCAGCATATACAGTCACATTTTTAGAAAGCACTTATGTTTTTTTTCTGTCTACATATCACATGGACAAAGTAACCCATTCTGACACTGTAGTCAACATCTATCTTACTACTTCAGATATTTTACAAGGCAACTAATATTTAACAGAATTAATTCTAAGTGACTGACTCTAACATGTTCTCAAAAACCTTCTGAAATGAATCTTCCCTTCCCTCTCCTGCTTGACACACTTATTTGAAGCATTACTCCTGGACAATTACATAAGTTTTCTCATTTTGGGAGGGATTTCATGACTTGATCTTTATCCCTGCCTGCCTTTTGGGGTGCAGCATCCTTGTGCAACGACTTAGAAGCACTCCACGATAAACCCTGAGCTGACTAAGGAATTACAAGATCTTCTCCACTCAGTACAAACTTCTATTTTTGTTGCTTTTTTCTTTCCTGAGCACCAATTCTCCATGTTTTTTTCATATTCTATATGTTGTGGAGTCTTATCATTAAGTCTGAAAACACAAATGCCATTTTGTTATGGCTCACACTCCTGTGAAATTAATTGGTGCCTAAATATTTAATAAAGTAAAAAATTAACAACTTAAAACCAAGCTTTCCTTAGTGTTTGTATAAGAAATCTCTCCATTTTTGTTCTGTAACTGTCACTGATCAATTCAGAAGTTCAACTTCTACAAAAATCACCTGCTCTTTAGAGAAACAACAATTGTGATAGTTGTACATATAAAAAGAACACAAATAAAACTTACCATGACACGATGCAATCCATAGTACATCAAAATGTCTGCTAAGGTAAAAGTGTTTCCTGCAAGGTAGACTTTATCTTCGAGGTGCATGTTAAGATCCTAAAAAGGAGAAAGTCATGAGACTGCTGTGGCATTGGTTTTGCAAGACAAAATGCTGTTAAAAATACTAGAAAGTGTTCTCTGGAGACATAAGGAGCATATGGAAGAGATGGGTGTTTTAATTTATCCCAACTCAGCAAAGGAGAAAAGGATTGGAAGAAAAGAACTTTAAAATTTATCAAGATTATTAATCAAAATATCCTTCTTTGACAGTGAGAATCCAGTGAGATTTAAATGGTGAACTCTGGCCAAAGTTGTGGTCAGTTTGCTGCTGGCACAACTTTCCCTAATTTCCCCCCAATTTACATGCACTCAAAATTTCCTAAGTAAGTGTGATTTGTTTTACATACCAAGCTGACTCCTCAGAAATACTTTCAAATCATTCTTTGCTTGGTTTCAAACTACTGGAATTTAAAAGTGCAAGAATTGTGTGTTTGTTTGTTTGTTTTTTTTATTTCTTTACCTGTTTTTCCTTTTGTCCCCATTTTATCTACTCAGATTTTGAAAAATAGCTCTGAAATAATTTTTCAGTCTCAATTACAGCATGTTCCATTTTAAGACAATCTTTTATTTAAAAAAAAACAACTTTAGGACAAGAAGGGGGTAAATAATTAGTGAACAATTTCAAATCTACATTTAGCCTTAAGGCTATTGCAGGTTTTGTGGTTTTACTGACTGGAGATATTCTACAGTCCATCCAGAAAACTAAAATATTGAGACTTTAAAACATCTGACCTTGCATTTGAACTTGACAAGTTTGACTCCATTATGCCACCTTAGTCTTACTGTGATAACTTCTTCATGACAGGACTCCTGTGCTTCTGTAGTATTTAAACAACCTCATGTCTGCTTTGATTTCCTTTATTAGAGCAAATCAGGGAAAAATATTAACCCCTGCATAGTTAAAATTCTGCAAGGTCATCTGCCCCTGGCTAAGTAGCTGCTTTTTTATTTTACACTGCTTTAATGCTTCCTATTAGCTCTGAAATTGCTTCAAACATAACTACAGTTCTGCAGAATCTCATACACACAACACAGACAAGTGCAACATAAAGAAGAAAAAACCTGCAGGAAGAAATAAAATCTAAAGTTCTGTTTACTAGGGAAAAAAATATATCAAATTTGTCTGTTCTGACACAGATTCTCAGACCAGCATTTTTCATTTTGATTAACCAGAATTTCACCATCCATTATAATGAGAAGTAATGCCACTGAAATTTTATCCCCCCTTCTCTTCTACCCCTTTTCTTTTTAGTCTAGGTTATGGAATTAGGATTTTGTAAAGCAAGAAGCTCATTATCTCTGAAGGTATAATCACCACAGTTATTTCCCTGCTCAAAAGTCTACATTTCTGAAGTTATGATGTGCTAATTCTTTAGTTTTATACATTATCAAGAGGTAGGCTTGTTTCTAGGCAGAAATATTTTTGCCCAGTTTTTCAGGAAGGGTTAATATCATACAGATACATTTGTTCATTGAATATACTGCACATGTCCACTCAAAATATACATAAATTTAAAAAATATCCTGAAAGGTTAAAATCAAGGTAAGCTATTGAACTATTTTCATGAACAACTCCTCCATGTGCTGAACATCACTATTTAAACTGATCAAATAAACACAATCCTAGTGTTGAACAACTGAAATTGCCTTGGAAGTTGCTTGTAACTACAGGAACTTGCTGTTGCCATCCTTCAGGAAACCCTTCCTCCAGTTTCAGAGAGGCATTTAAGGCCTAACTGCAGTTTAATGTGCTAATAGGCACTGAACAACTGCAGCAACTCAAATTCCATTTTTGGGAAGGAGTGGGGGGAAAGCAAGGGAATGAAGAGACACTGCACTATTTATGGACTAACCACTGGATCCCCATTTGCTTGTTCTATGGAAAAAAGAGCCAATTTACAGCCTGAATCACAAGTAGCTTGGGTAAGGAACAGTTCCCTGCTTAGACTTGGATTTGGGGTTGGATATTGTGCCCATGACACCACTCTGCTGGTGCACACACCTCCCTGTGCACATCCTTTCACTCAGCAACGTTCTCAAGGTCATTTATGCCCTAAATGTCTTTTTATTGCAGTCTGCAAAGAAAGAGCTGAGTGCTCCCAAATGCCTCAGTAAAGGCTCTGACAAGGCAGAACCCAAAAAAAGCAGAACTGCACTCTTGGGGCAGAGCTGTAGTTTTTTATTCTAACTCAAGGCTTTGCTAGCTGGCAAACTATAAGCTAAGCTTGATCTGGAAGAATATTGTATTTCACACACTGAATTTCCTGTAAAAGACTGAAGAAAAAATAATCAACAGCTATTCCATCATCAAAATTCACTCTTTTCCACTTGTAAATGAATAAAAATATCCTCTTGCTGACAGAAAAGGGAGAGGAGACAACAGAGAAAGTCAAAATACTCCCTGGAGAAGCTTGCCAAAGTGAGCAGGCTTTCCATTTAGAGTTTCATCCAAAAAAACAGTGTGCAGAAATGTGGATTAACAGCACAGAGCACAGATTATCTTGCTTCTGGATTTGTGGAAACAGCAAATTTCCAAACAAGCACACTAAGTAAGAACTGAAGCTTTCTTCTACAGATTTCTAATTGGATTTCATGATCACAGCCAGAGAGGGTGGGAAATGGGGACAAAACTAGTTAAAATCATGGAACATTTTTTTTGTATGAGACACTGAAAGGAATAGACAGAAATTCTTGGTTATATCCCTCAGAGATCTTCCATTTTTTCTGTGAATTCAAGTACAAGCTCCCAGTTATTTAGAATATGCCTCTGAAGAGAACAAGGAGGGGGTAAGATCTCTAAGTTTTGAATGCTTAAGAAGTGACAAAGCAGAGACATTCCTTCACATCTCAGTAGACATTTGAGGGCACAGATGTTTCACAAAGGTTCTCAATTCCAGAGGTGTTGCTCCCATGGATTTTCTCCAGTACAGGAGCTCAAATTAAAAGCAGACAGCACTCCAAGAGCACTTTCAGTGGCTGCTTCTTGCAGTGCAGCACTTGCTCTGAATGAATGAATATAAAAAAACCTGCCTGAGATGATCTGACAACTTCAGGATTGTTTCCATGCCAAGCAACAGCTTCAGGCAACACGTCAGCAAGAGCAATTTAAGAACTTCATTTTCCCAGGGCCAAGAAGAAAATCCTTCCTGTTCAAATTAACAAGCCTTACACGAGTTATTGACTGACATTTTTCAGCACCACAGCAGCTAAGGGTTAAACAGAGGCAGCCCAAAGTTTACAGCAGAAGTGACTGAACTGTTTTTGGCACAGCTTATTATAAATTGTGGCTCTAGGCTGCAACTGTCCCAAGACTGCCACTGTGCATTCCAGGCACGATGTAAAACTACACACTCAGACTTCCCTCCCTGCTTTAGTTTTCCTTCTGTTTTTTTTTTTATCACCCATACTCCCTTTTGGCATAGTATATTTTAATGGTAGGCTGCCTCTTTTTCTGATTAATCATGGTGGCAAGAGAACAAATTAAAAAAAAATCTTAATTGCTATGCTATGAAATTATTAGTGCTGGAAAAATTCCATGGCAGCTCCGTGTCAAAATAAATTCTGGGTGTTCAGCATCTGCCAAGAAAAAAAACATCACAGGAAAATGCTGAAGTGATAAAATCTATTAGACTGTGTTCAAAGGTGGAGATTGTCCCTCAAGTGACACTGTTTCTCAGTAAGGGAATTTTGTTTTGTTTGGAAATCCTTGAAATTGAACTTGAAATATTAGCAAGAAAGCTCAATAAAAGTTATTTATTCTCATAGGTCTTCTCACAGTTTGAGAGAGAACAAAAGGCTTCCCAAGTTTGTTTGAAAAATGACTGAAAGGATAGAATAATTGTCAAAAAGGTTTTAAAACTAAATTAAGGAGACAACAAGGACCTCTGAGGGCCACCTGGTCATACCAGAGGTTCAAACTACAGCTAAACTGGAGGTTAAACCTTAATTAGTCAATGCCTCCTTCAACCAAGCCCTGAAAGTCCCAACAGTCAGACAGGTTTTGAGGGCATCTGCACGTAGAAAATGAGACCAGAGATGTTACAAGAAGAGAAGCAATGTAAACAAACACATTCTTAGGGAAGATATTCCATAGGTAGGAGATCAAGATAATTCAGCTTATCTGTGGTATAAGCAAGAGAAATGGTTCTGGGTTCTTTAGGGCTTTCACCAGGTTGATCCTTGTTATAATATTCCAAGTCCTCAAGCTCAAGGAGGTTGAGAGTTTGAAAAGAACAGGTTACATCATATTCAGTATAGAGCTGAGGGATCACAAAGGCCAAGCCTTGCCTTCCTTCCTTGGCTGCTTCTTCAATGGTCAGCATCCAAAGAGCCTTTGATCCAGAGCTGTGTGTTCCTGAACAGAGTTCCAGAATCCAGCTCCTGTTGGCCACTGAGTCCAGCCTGGGACTGTCCCCTGGGGGCTGCTCCCCAGCTTCAGGGGTGACAGTGATGTATTGCCAGCAGGGGGGAGCTGGGTTCAATACTAGTTTTGTATATATTCTATTATTATTTCATTAGAACTGCTTTACTTCTCTAATCTCTAAGTCTTTCTCCCTTATCCCCTTTCTCTTCCCCTTTGGGGGGCAGAGGGTTAACAGAGAGCATGTTACAGGTTTCAGGGCAGCCCTGACCCTAAATCCTGACAGCACTGAGTGCTGTGTACTGTCCACCTAAAATCTACTTTTACACTAGAATAAATAAACCCTTTAAAAAATGATTGAATTCCATGGCTGTTTCACACACAGCCCTCAGCACCTCACAGTGTAAAGCAAATTTCCTCTTCAAGCTCTTCAGTTCAATCACCAATTTCAATTCAAGCAATTACCACAGCATCAAGTATGGCCCATAATTACCAAATCAATCAGCCCAGCTCTTAAAACAATCAGAGCAGTGTTATCTTGAACTACACCAACCTGTTTGTCACTGAGGTTTTATGCAGATAGGAAGAAACTGGCACCTTATGTGCCCAGGAAGAGCCTGAACAAGCTCTAAACCACGTGGGACACCCTGGGTGGTTTAACTGCACCACAGCCATAACAAATCAAGGGCTCTGCTTCATATATTTTACATTTTAAGCTGTTTTCCCTCCTGTTTTTGGTCAAGGAGCCAGCAGAATAAAAGCCTGTGCTTAAAGATACCATCAAGTCTCCAGAACTTGCTCACTGTTATTAAATGTTTTTTTTTCCACACACATACATTAGCCCCAGAATCTTCTCCAAGATCCAGTCACTCCCAAATTCACTGGAGAGGTAATCAAGCCCTGCTTACCCCCAGAATTATTCTGGTGTCTTCTTTACTGGAGCTTCCATCCACTCGAGTCACTCTGTACTCCAGCCACTGCTGAACAACAGCCTTCTCCTCTGCAGTGCTCCCCAGGAGCTGCTCCTTCTTAGCCTGTCTAACTAGGTGGGCAGCAATGGTCACCAACCCTGTCAGGCCAGGACCATTGTTCCTCTGCAGAACAGGAACCTAGAAGTGAAAAGAAGAGTGTAACACTAACCAGCTCCTTCAAAACACAGGCTCTGTGAGGACAGCTATTGGGTTTCCAGAGCCCCCCAAAAAATCTCCTTTTAATCTTTGGGGTGGTTTAGTTTTTGTTTTGTTTTCACAGAAGTGTATTTAACACATCAAGCCACTTTTAGCTCCAGTGAATCAAACCCTGCTAATATCAGCAAGAAATAGCATTGCTCCTTTTAACACTGCCAGAAATCTCATTAACTTTTAACTCATTTTCAAATTCAGGCCTCTTGGCTTAAGATGAAAGTCAGTAACACCCAATTTCTCCCCTGGCAGACTGCCTGGCCAGACTCCCTGACTGAAATGCTTACTCACACTTGCTGCTCCAGCACCAAATGCTCTGCCAGGAGCCAGCAGTCCCCTGGTGACAGGGCAGGACAACACCACACACCTCTGCCTGGAGCCACACCTTTGTGACTGACCCCTGAAACAGCAGGAAGGGAACTGAGCCACTCAGAGTCAGAAGGGAATGAACTGAAATTCACTGCAACAGACTGAGACCCCTTGAGTCATTTATGGCAGCAAAGGATAGAAGAGAAGCCAACTAAAATGCAGTATATCTTTTTTTAGAGTATCTGGCCACACAGAGGAGCCTGTCTACATTCAGATTTAATTAACACGAGATGCAAAGTGAAAGCACAACATTCATTTTCTCTTTTCACATGTCTTTGGCTACTATTCCATTTTTCTACTGAACTTAAAGTCACAAAAACTCCAGATCTAGCTACTCGATTTTTCAGACTCACACTTTGCAGTCATAGCATTAAAATACCACTTGGGTTGTTAAATAATTAAGGAAGCTTCTGCACATGAGAAATGCATATATTGATATTCAAAACTCGAATCACAAATAGCCAATAAAGTCAAGAAAGAGAAAATTCAAAACCATAAGGAACTGACACAACTTCCCTTCTCTGCTGTCCTTTTCTGAGAGAATCACTTAATGATCCTTACATATTTGTGACACCCTCAGCCCTACATTCCATTTTCCAGGCCTCAGGTGCCTCTTAAACCACCGAGCTTAATGTTAAGAACATCAAGGCGTCTACATTAAAAAATATTTAAGAGCAGCAACTCCTCACTATAGATGCATTAGTGATATGAAGGTTTTTATCCACATAGCTTAATGGCACCAGCACAGCTATAACTTGCGCTGGCAGCGGCAAAACGCAGGGAAGGCAGCGGTGTAAGATCAAGGGCGTTTTAAGCCGACATCCCTGTCGCGACACACGATAACCCCACAGGCAGAGGGAAGCTTCTGGAAGCTTAGAAGCCCC